TTAAAAAAGTAGATGGGACATAAAGACAAATTAATGCTAAAACATATATTTTCCACATTAATGACACATTATTTACATTAGCAATAAAACATCAGGAGATATCTATATAAAACAATCTCATAAAAATAAGATTCTCTGTAAAAAAGAATAAGAAGTAAAGCAGAATTCTCACAAGAAAAGAAAGTAATTTATTTCTCTAAGAAAATTACTGCTCTTTCTTATACATGAAGGAGCTCTCGGTCATTCTTCCAGTATAAAATTCTTAAGTATTTGTCAGACAAGTCACATTTCTATTATAAAATTCCATATTTTTGTTTTATATTACTCACACAGATTCTTCACTGGGTTTCAAGTTTTTACTTTTCTCTTTCTCTCTCTTTTTTTTTTTACATTTACTATCATATACACAAAACTATCAGGATGCAAGACATACACGACATAATATAATTTTCACCTCACTGTCAAACTGAAAACATTTCTCATTTTTTTCTTTCCGACCAATGCTGCAACACCTGTGATTGTGCTAGAAATTTGCTACACAAGTCCTAGTATGAAAGGGTCAATATAATGTCACTTGAGGGTAGCACTCAATTATGTTTCTCACATTTTTTACAAATGACGGTAAAGAAAAAATAAATTATAATAATCAAAATGAAATCACTTATTTTAGGGAGTCAAGGATTTAAGGATAATGTCACAAACTTGATTATTAAAAAATAATAATAATAAAAATTAAATAAAATATTGATAATATTGATAATAATGAATGCTATGGCACTTACAATCCTAATAATGATTAAAAATTTGTACAAAATGAAGCCTAACATCACTTTCATTGTAATTTGTCAGTCCACGTGAACTTTTTATCTTTGTATGTAACTTCACGGTACGTTGGTGGCAAGTCCGTCTCCTCCTGTTCTGTTCTATGTGGAGTGCAAATGAGGGAGCGCACGCTGGCATCGAACCCACAGTCCACCAGGCCTTCTTGTGCAAAAGCCTATGAGAAATCAGGATGGATTAGTGGCTTCTACTTACACTCTCACACTCACTCTCTCACTCACTCGAAAGGTTCATTACTCTTAGAAAACTGATGATAATGATACTAAGATGTGACATTGTTCAAAAGGGGCCATGAGATAGATGGAAACTAGAATTAGCATATTGTTCATGTATGAACTGAACAAATGAAATTATCTATATAATCAGTATATCTAAGAGATTATACTTTTGGAAATAACAGAATTCACAATAGGGCCCCAATTAAAGAAGACAGATGAGACTGATTTGACGGTGGGGAACGCAGGTGGCAGATTTGGTGGGGCTATAGCCACATCAAACCCTAAAACAAAACATAAAATCAAACTCTTTTTTTTTCTGTGAGCCTACGATAGCCTTTCTTTTTGCCCCCGACCAATCTTGAATTGACCGACCTGAGGAGCAGCATCCGCATCATGGTGGCTGTGCTGCGAGAAGGGAAGTGTGGACGGAACAGGGACAAGTGAGAGGGTGTAGCTGTCTGTCGCTAGGGAGAGGAGGGAGCACAGCTGATGCACAGTGTGGGGCAGGATGGGGCCTGACACCTCCATACTGTGGTGCATGTCACCCTCCTGCCGGATCACACTTCCTTTGGCCTAGAACAGGATGAAAGGCAGATTATATAACACAATAATTAACTAAGGGAAAGACAGTCATCTATTCACACTTAACCCCTTGGACCTGAATGACGCTGCAATCACGTCATCAAAAAATCTAGATTGAGGGCCAGGTGACGTGAACATGTCATCATTGGGCAAAATGACCGTGGGCCGGGTGACGTGAACTTGCCATCATAAGCAAAGGCCAGGATGATGGAAAAGACTCATTACGAGTGTACAAACCTCTTGGAGTGTGATTTGACTCATAGTGCTTTAGAAGGGAGCTTAAACATTAGTCCCATAGATAAATAAATGTGGAATGTAACGTGCAAAAGCCGTGACTGAAAGAGCGCCAGCTCCAGGGAAGACACCATTTCAATGCTGCGCACCAGATTTCTGGCCACTGTGATAGGCACAGGTTGTATTACAGAAAATTGAACATTACAAAAAAAAAAGAGAAATATGACACATATAACCAATTTTCCCTCTATCTACTACACAGAGAGATGATATGGAGTCTGTGCAAAAAAATAGGTATTTCCATCTGGAAAAAGCAAATCAAAAGACAGATATGGACACTGGAAAATGGTATAAAAGCTAAAGAGGTTTACACAATATAAATTTGCAAAGGGGACACACTCATGGTATATTCACGAGTGCCTGGCCTGTGCACCGCACACCCGGGATGCTATCTACACACATAACCCACTGCCCGTTTTTTCAGCTCCGTGATTTCCATGATGCATCCAGATCCAACGGGTTAATATATTAAAGATTTATCACACACCTTTCTATGTCATATCATATAAACAAATATAATATTCAAGCCTTTGTATCATAGCTGTTAAATGCAACACTTTAAAGGGCTACCTTGAGTGTCTTGAGTGTGCTGCCCTGAAAGGCCACAGGGGCCAGGAGAGTGGGCGGCACTCCGGCCAAGAGTCCCGTGGTACCCACACAACTGCGGCTGTTCAAGAGGAAGTTGATGAGGCCCTGGGTCTCCATCCCTTCCACATACACCAGGGATGCGGCTGTTTTATCTACATTCTTGAACTTTTCTCTTTCTCTGCAAAAAGATACAAACAGCCTTCTACAGTCATCTATATATGATTACCACAATCTTTGCTTGAACATCTTCAAATAATAGCTTACCTTAATCTACAGCCAAAACTGTATTCCTTTACATCACTTAGTAGCAATGAATGGTACATCAAGATGAAAAGAGCTTGGAAGCCTCTTTATAAAGATTCTTCCCTCACACTTACTTTAAGCAAATAAATATTCAAATACAAGTAAAAGAGAGTAAGAGGGTGAGTGAATGATAGAGGGAGAGGGAGAGAGAAAGAGAGGTATGAATGACAGAGGAGAGGGAGAGAGAGAGAGGGGGGGGAGGGAGAGGGAGAGAGAGGAGGGGAGAGGAGAGAGAAGAGAGAGAGGGGGGGTGGAGGGAGAGAGGAGAGAGGGGGAGAGAGAGAGAGTTAGAGGGAGGGGGAGAGGGAAGGAGAGGGGAGAGGGAGGAGAGAGGGGAGAGAGAGAGAGAGGGAGAGAGAGAGAGAGAGAGAGAGAGAGAAGAGAGAGAGAGAGAGAGAGAGAGGAGGAGAGAGAGAGAGAGAGAGAGGAGAGAGAGAGAGAGAGAGAGAGAGAGAGAGAGGAGAGAGAGAGAGAGAGAAGAGAGAAGAGACAGAGAGAGAGAGAGAGAAGAGAGAGAGAGAAGAGAGAGAGAGAGAGAGAGGAGAGAGAGAGAGAGAGAGCAGAGAGAGAGAGAGAGAGGAGAGAGAGAAGAGAGAGAGAGAGAGAGAGAGAGAGAGAGAGAGAGAGAGAGAGAGAGCACTCACAGCTTTACGCGATTGGGGTTCAGATTAGGGAACTGCGAGGTTTCGACCCCAAGATTCTCTAGCCAGGAAGTAGCCTCCTCCTTTTCTTCCTCCTCCTCCTCTTCTTCCTCATCTTCCTGCTGAGGCTCCTGCATCCTGCCCCCCTGTTCGTTGCCTGGATCCTGTCCATTCTTTGTGCCGTTGTTGTGGAATGGCATTTCAAATTCAATGTCTGAAAAAGGTTAAGATTGTTATGACTGTCTATAAAGATAGAATATCTATAGCAACATAAGTAGATTATGTAGTTATATATTTATATGACACATGCATATTGATAAAAGATTAGTATCCTTGGGTAACTAAAAGATCGAAGGAGCATGGTTATCATGGAATATTTCCCTCAAAATTCATCTAAGATCAATGTTCACACCTTAAAACTACATTGAGATGTGAATTAAAACTGTGGCAGGTACAGAAACGTATGTGGAAAAGGTAGCAGTGTAATCCAGACCTTATGTGTTCACATCATATGGTCCATTTTCCCATGCTTACAGCTTAAAATTGGGCACATATATCGTAAAACAACTCGGCATCTCAGTCTGAGCTTCTTTGGCCCACAGAAAAAGGGGAAAGGAGAGCAGACATATGATTGTGCCTCACTAATTCCAATCCACAAAGCAAAAATTCAATACAATACAACATGGCATTACAATAACTAAATACAATATCCCATACAATATAATACAATATCTATATCACAATTCTGCTTGAGTTTCACTGATCAGTCTGTCCAGACGTTATGCTTGCACATTACACCTGAAATCATATTCTAAGTGACTGCAGAGTTGAAGTCTTTCCATACCATTTCCATATCATTCTTCTTCCCCAAGGCAAGTATCCTGCCACTGAAGTAGTCAGACCATTAGCTTATGCAAATTCATTATTTCCATGACAGTCTGAGGGGGGAGGAGGTTAAGAAGGAAGATGGGAAGGGAAGGGTAAAAGGAAGGGGGAACGGAAAGGGAATTTAAAGAAGAAAGGGAGGAAACAAGAGGGAAAGGAAAGGGGCAGCTTCAAGAGGGAAGGGGGGGAAGAAAGGGGAAGGAAACTTAAAGAGAAAAGGACAATGAGAGAGGGGAAAGAGGGGTGACTGGAATGGCTTGCCACAAGTGAACAAAGCTCATGAAGGCTGATTAGACTCAGTGGGCATTTAGAGAGGGTTTCTTGCATTACTCCTATCAGTAAATGAATATGTACCATCCAAGAGCTATGACTGGAAGAGTACCGGCTCCAGAGAGGACACTATTTCCACACTCAAGATGTTTTTTAACTCGTGGCGAGTCTTTTCCGTCATCCCAGCCTTCAGTCAAAATGCTCATGATGGCAAGTTCATGTCACCATGGCCCACAGCCAGATTTTCTCATGACAGCATGTTTACGTCAACCTGTCCTCGAGCCAAGTTTTTCCATGACGTGATGGTCATATTATCTGGATCATAGGGATTGATAACACTGCAAGGAGATAAGGAATCTTGACACTGCACACGTGTTTGTGTTCATCTAGCCTACAAGCCACACACCTGTTAGAGTGGCCAGTCAAATAAGCCTAATGCTACAACTTTGGGCCATGTGTGGGTTATGAAGTACCCAGATCCAGGGGGTTAAGGATTATTTGGGAGTGAGAGGGGGTGGCAGAGAAGGAGCAGGAAATGGAGAAGGAGAGGAAAAGAAAATGGGAGAGAGGAGATGAGAGGCAGGAGGAGGATGGTGAAAGAAGGAGAGAGGAGATGGAGATGAACTTCTCAATCTTTTCTATTCAGTGGAATATTCATGGGTCCTACCAGTTTAAGTACAATCAAATACAATAAAACATCTTATACAATACATTTCAACTATATATAACACAATATCCTAATACAACAACTAAATCACAAACCTTCCGTTCCCCACCCTTTACAGCACCCCCTCCCCCCAAGAATATAATTCTGCAGTTCTTTACCTTCATTCTTCATGGCTTCTCTAAAACCCCTAGTTGTTGGTGTGATGAGGGCGTGCGCTTGCGAAATGCCTGCCACGCCTGCTGCTCGGAATAGGCACGTGAAGGTGGGGCCACAGACATAGAAGTACGGACATTGCCTCACACGCAGCAGCTGGTGGAGTGAACGCAGGCTTTCGCTCCTGTTTTGGGGGAAAAGCGAGTTCTAGAGACCACAAGCAGTTTTCTGAACTATCACCTTATACCTTGGACAGGTATTCATCAGTTTTGCAAAGGTATCTTACTCAAATCCAAAGTCTGTGTAATAGAAGGGCTATAAGTAGTGACATGACATACATATGCCTGGTGAGATATCCCTTCTTGGCATGGCAGGATATGCATGCTGGGGCAGAGGGTTCATGGTAACGTAAAAATATCTTTACCTTAAAAGGAAGCTTCCTAGACTCTTTTCTTTTTTGTTTTATATACTAATCAAATCAAATAACTGCAGACTAATGAAAGGCATTACCAAAAGCTCAAAGGACTGAATAAATACCTTCAATATTTTCTTTTTGTGTGTTTTGCTTCTGACTGCATAGAAGATTTAAGAGAGATAGAAGAAGAGAGAGAGAAGAGAATGCAGCAATTTACTTGGCAAGCACACCATTTAAAGATTCTGCCCAAATAGTGCCACATACACTGACAATATTCTTCATGAACTACTAGTTTCGAACAGGAGTCAAAGAGTGGAGAGCAAATCAACGTCACTAAGGACTTTCCCAATGAAGTTCACTTTCTCACCACTCAGCATGAATAGCGTCTCCCAGTTTCTTGTCAGTGCCGAAGAGTCCCGTCTGTGTCGTAACTTTCAAGTTGTCCCGGGGAAAGAGCTGGAGCCAAGGCAGACTGGGGTACTGCCAGATGAGGCAACACTGATAGAACTGGGCATTTGGTGATGTGTCAAGGGTTCTGTCTTCACTGTTATCTGATGTGGAGTTCAGGCAGCGCACGAAGCCTGTTGTCCCAGAGGCTTCCTCTGATGTCTGTGGCAAGACTTAAAATTAGTTCACAATTAAAGAAGAAGAGAGAGGAAGAGGAAGAGGAAGAAGAAGAACATCATTAAACATAACAATAATATTAATAAAAATAATAATACTGATAAAAATAAAAAACAATTTTGATATCAGATATCGTAACTTGAAAATGCAAAAATCAAAACATAAAACTAGTCAAAACTACATACATTAATCATATCTTCAAAACTTATGAATATCAGTTTTGTACAGTAAGTTCTGTTCTGCCCCAATTGGCATCAAAACAAAATACAAAAGCATACAACAAAATGACACTAACAAAAAAATTTAAGCATAGACTTACAAACCTTAAAATTGTGTTTCCATGGTAGAGCGGCTTGTTTACTTGAACCGCACTCTGCCTTAAGACTTCCAAATCAACCGCCAGCTGCTCTGTCCACGTCACAGAAAGGAACTTCTTCTTCTGTCTACTCAAAAAGAGGGGAGAGAAGTGGTGATCAAACCTAAATAGCGCAAAATCCTATCGAAATATAACTATATTTATATACATATACTATAAACTATATAATACAGACTATATAACATATATATATTATATATATATAATATATATATATTATAATATATATAACTATATTATATATTCGTATATATATATATCATTAATATTATAACGTATATATTAATATATCTTATATTATATATCTATATATATATCATATATATATATATATATATATATAGTATATATATATACTATTATATATATATCATATATTATCATATACATATCATATTATATACATATAATAATAAACATATACATATATGTATCTGTGTATGTATATAATATATATATATATATATCTATAATTATATATATAATAATATTATTTATATATATCTACATATTTATATATATATATATGTATATATATTATATATATGTATAATGTAATATATATATATAATATATATATATATATATATTATATATATAAATTTCCACTTACTACACACATATATACAAATTAATCAATGATACGCAATGCACGCACGCATATGCACTACACATCAGTCAATTTCTACATACACACCAACTACACCCAGCTGACAACGCATGCACGAGCCGCACGCACGCAACACACACACAGCATACACAGACAAATATAATCAAACATTACTTTTTAGCACAATATGTAAATGATTCCATTGAATGTGAATGAAATGAATAAAAAAAAAGAAAAAAAGAAGAAAAAATAAGATAAAATTTGGAATAACTCTTGATAAATTAATATTTCAATAATATTTGCCAACTTAACAAACGAGATGTAATGCATGTAACAAATTATATTTTTGCCAAAAAAAATACAAAAGAATATATAAAGCATCCATAAAGCATAAAGCTATGTAAACATATACATAAGCATATAGCAACATACATAGATATACTGAAAGGAAATTTTTCTTACACATCTATTTGTGTTCATCCAAAACTTAATAATACCTTATAAAATCATGAACCTACTTCAATCTGCAAATATTCATATCGTACAACCATTCTTCTTCTTGACTTACCTTGATGAGAGTCTCCTCCTGCTGTTGTAAGCTTGAGAATGTTGGAAAAACTGTAAACTGCTGTGAAACACCTTCTGCTTTGGTGCGGATGGAACTTAGCAGACGAAGAAAGGGATGCGTCACTCGTTATTCTCCAGTGTAACCGTCTTCTTCCGTCTCGCTGCTTTGTTGGGGTTGGAAACATCTTTTGGAAAGAGAAGTAGAAGAGTAATATAGTGAGGAGAAAGGGGAGGGTGGAAGGAAGGGGAAGGGAGAGGGGAGGGGGGGATGGAGAGAGTGAGAAGAGATGCAATAAACATTTTCAAGATTTCCAACAAGCATTTATACAAAAAATATTGTTCAAAACTAAAAAAACCTTTCAAGAAACGAAAGACTAACACAGCACAGGCCCCCTTTACCAAACTCACTTGATGGATTCTTCTCTTTGATTCCACGGCCTTCTGGGTGTCGCTGAGTCCTTTCGCTGGGGCCAGGATTTGCAAGGGGGTGAGGGCACTCATGCGCGCTTGCAGAGCCTTGCGCTTGGCCTTCAATTTTCTCACACGCATGACATCTCCAGGTTTGATCCATCCCGGGGAGGTGGGTGATGACTTGCGCATTCCATTGTGGATACTGGAAATTAGTTTATATAGTAGTTATTAAAAATAATAAAGTATAAAAATGGGAAAATGTGCTCAAGCTTTTTCTATACTCTATCTTACATCCCAAATGCTAAAACAATTATATGCTATAATGTTATAAACCTGAACAAATCTTTCTCAAAATATCACTGTCTCAGCATTACTAAGAGCCTAGTTTCTGCACTGTGTATTTTGTAAAATTTTGAAGTTTCATCTTTTAGCTATCACTTAAGGCAGCAGCTAAATATTTTAAAATCTGCACAAAAGCAAGCTGAACAAACTGATTTAACACTTGGATAGTATGTAAAAGAACACTCCTTACACAGTACACTTTATTTTACACTTTTAGTTTATAAACAACTCAATCTAAATAGATTGTCCTCTAAATACAAAAAAAAAGACACGGTTCTATCAGAATATAAAAACAATAAGAGAACAATGTGGTAAATCTCATAGTTTCTAGCAATAATCTTAATAAACAACCCTTATTCTATATGAACGTGATCATTATCTGTGTTACACTTGGTAGTCCAATCAGTAGGGGATAATTGGCAATTGACTGATTACAATCCAATAGTGGGATAATTGCAATTGACTGATACATCTGCATCACTTCTAATACTCTAGGAAAGCTAACAAACTTTTTTGACATATATTCCAGTAAGTTAGATTGTGAGCTAGTTTTGGTTTGCTATTTCATGGTAAATTACTGGCAAGGTATACAAGCTTTACTTTATAGGAATTAATGGAAGCAGATTGATTGACATTTGTTTGAATGCTGTAAGTGTAGAGGCCAATATAGCTAGTAGCAGATCCACTGATGTAATAGTAAAATTTACCTGCAGTGTTATCTGTTTAATTTCAACATTTCACAAATGAATAGACACTTATCTGGAAGAAAATGAAGATCTTCTCTGTAATCATTAGAAAACCCACTTAATTTTTACCTTATTTAATCTTACAGTAATTCTAATACAAAATTTTTGAGGCCCAAAATAGCACCTTCAGGAACTCCATTTATTGCTTAACAAATCTTTTCAATGTCGTATATTTCTTTGCTACTAGATTACTCTTCAGATGGTTTTGTGAATGAAAGGTCAAGATATTCATGTTTCGCTTCTAAGACTTTTGATTTTATTCAAATAACATGAGGTTGAATCGCTTCGGTCTCTGAAATTCCATTCACTTCTCATTGATTTCCAGATATCAGCTTTTATCTCGTGTTCTGTTCTTTACATTATGATCTACTTAACTCGTTATTTTCTTTACAAGAGGGTCAACGACAAAATAATTCACGACAGAAGGTAATTATAACAAATAATCACGAAGGAAGATTTGACAAACAATCAACTCACAAAAACTCAAATAATTTTTTTTTTTCTATTGCTCTCAAAACACAAAACACACTCCAAAGTCGAAATTCCATAACTTACAAGAGGCGCAGTGGTATATTTCAACTCGATCAAGGAGAATTTCTCTAAAAACTGCTCCCCGGGAAAACAAAAATCTTGAATCTCAGCCTCTCTTGTTTACATTGATGTCACAGTCGCCGTTCTCCCCCAAGGAAATCAGGAAATTTGATTTATTTTAATTTTGATAAGAAATTATATCTATATTATTATGTGAACATTTATAATATTTCAGAACTTCTGTTAATTATTCATAGTGAATTTATGGTCGATTTCCACATCTTTGATTTTTCATACGAAAATGTATCAGATTTCAATCCTATGATTTTTTTATCGTTGTAATAATGTGGGTGGTGGCTTCATGCGTTCAGGGTGGTAACTGGATTGTTTCTAGGTTATGTCTAAAAGCTTTCTGCTTTCTCGGCTTTCCAGCTGCTCCCTGGCTGCTAGCCTCTGTTGCGAAAAAGTGAGCAGCTTCTGCATAAGCCCCCCCTGCCCATGCAATAGCTCTCCATATCATCGGGAGAACTCTCCCTGCAAGTCGTCCCGTGGCCCCCAATTGGAAACTGGGTACCTTGCGTTCTCCAGGCTAAAACTGAGGGGAAATCTCGGAGCAGGCGAGTAAGCCCCCAGAGTCAGGGCCAGGCCCACCGGCATTTGACGCCGGCCCCTGTTAAACCATACTCCTCCGCCTAGCCCCTGGGTATGGGGCCAGGGGAGTGCCTTGCCATTTCTCCCCCAATATAACAAATCGGCAGTCGCAAATATAAATGGAGAGCTGGGAGGAGGGAAAGCCCCCCACCACTCTAGTGGAGGCGACTGGTGTGGCCCTCTGGGGATGGCGATGCGAGCGCAGGCTGGGAAACGGAAATACGCGTTCGCCCTGCGCCTGTGCGGCCACCCAGTTAGTGAAGCTTGTGGGAAACCCTTCGGAATCCAGTGGATGTTGGGCAGTCGCCAGCCCACCCCTACTATGGGTGCATCGTCGGTGTGGCGTTGGCAGAGGTTGCATCCCCGGACGACTGCCGAGAGGGCTTGAACCTCAGTCGTGAAGCTAAGGTGGGGTTGACAACGTCCGTTCTTTGCGTCATGAGATCGGTTGCTCTATCTGTGAGGGAACTGGGAGCGAGATTTGAGGTGCTGCTTCTCTCGGAGCGTAGAGCCTGGCCCGGCATCGACCTGTGGTGGCTACACCTTATTTATCGGTCGGTGCCTCAGCGATGCCACCCATCTCCAGGGACGTCCAATTGCGCTCCAGCAGACTTCTCTCAGCCCTCGGATAGAGTACCCTGTGATCGGAGCGTATAATTTGGTAATTGAAGAAGCTTTCTTTTGGCTTCATGTCTGCTATTGCGGTAGCTCCTAATACCGGATGGTTTGTAAACTTTGATCGTGAAAGAGATGTCTATCGCAAACTTTACATCTGTGGCTATGACAGATGTCCTCGAAGAGAGATATATGCGCATTGTTCTGGGTCGACTTCATGCGTATCTTCTGTGATGAGCTGGCTATGAAATGGTCTGTCGGTCCCCCATGTTCAGAAGCTGACCTGGGGTACGAGAATAGCCGTCTTTCGGGACTTGCTAGTTCCTCAGAAGAGGATCTGGCTCCTGGTACCTGACTGCCCAGATCCCACATCGCTCATGAATCAGTGATGCGGGAAGGCACCAAGAAGATCGACCAACTATTCTGTAGCGACTCGTTGGAAGATCCTCAAATTAGCAGGGTGTGACATGTGCGTGCTGGAGTTCTGTTGGGTACTGAACATATGATGTTGTGCTACTCCCGGCGGTCCAATTATAGATACTTTGTTCAAAAGAGTTATTTAGAAATCCCCAGCTCATAATGATCACTTCCAGAAGTGTTTCAATTTGGACAGCGCTCCGCCTCGAGGGATGTGCGCCGCTAGGTTTGCTGAGGCAATCTCTGAATGTTGTCGCGAGGTGCTTGGCAATCTGGAACAGACCCTGTTTCTCGTGGATCCTGTTAAGCGTTGAAGACTGGTTGATATGCTCAAGAAATCGATGGTACCTCGCGAGCAGTAACAGAATTGTCCATCTCGCTGGGAGACACGGGGGAAGCATGATTCAATGTCTTGCGCTGCGTCTGACAGGGATCGTGAATTGGCACGTTCTCATGGTGCGCAGAAGCGGTCCCTGTAAGAGGGGCAGAACCATTATTATAAATCTTGCCAAGGAGTAAATGCCATTTCTGAAATGACCTTCGTTCCGCATACCAATGCCTCTGCAGAAAGCTGAACCCAAGCCCCTCACATTGCACAGCATTCCTCAGTTAAGTGGTGCAGCAATCGTTCAGATCCTGTTGTAGTCGGACGTTGGGCTGATATTGACAGCTTACAGTGTTGACCACACCATGATTGGATGCGGTTATGCAGAACTCCTCGCTCGCCTGAATCCACTCTATCAGTGGGACCCACTCCCTAGACTGATATAGGGGCGATTTCAAGTGAAAGGGAAAAGCAGCTGGTACTGCGAATAGCACTGAACTGGTAGAATGGCTGGGTTGAACCTATTGCACGGGGTAATGCTGCCTGCTGGCCATCTGGCAGTCCGGTACTGTTCCCCTGAGGTTGAGGGTGGGTCACCTCCTGGAGGGAAGTGGACGGTGGACTGCAGCAATCAACCGGCATCACACTGCTCGATTGACCAGGCTTAAGTTCTCGCCCATCCTTGCTGAACGTATCATAGACATGCTAGCTGAGTGCACTCAAGACTGGACGCATCCGTATCCGTCCGGTAAGCCAACAATAGACCGTATC